GGGGGGGGGGGGGGGGGGGGGGGGGGGGGGGGGGGGGGGGGGGGGGGGGGGGGGGGGGGGGGCGTGCATATATAATGATTGCCACGGTCATTCAATTACCGAACACGCAACCCTGGTACAACGGTGCATCGCTTCTAGTTCTGTAATACATCAACACAGCAATGTATACGTAGCTCCACGGAAGACGCCCGCGGAAGGAGAGAGAAACAGTGAGGTGCTTCTACGCAAGCGCCCGGCTTCTTTCGTTGTCTCTCTTTTTCACCTTGAGCCCGTGCAGCAGGTACTTGTGGATGGCCCACTCCTGGAAGCTCCAGCCGACGGCAACGACGGGCACCGCCGCAGCGTCGGCCAGGCCGAGAGGAGAGGTTGCGCCGCACGAGAGCACCCGCAGCGCCACCGCCGACAGTATTCCTGTGGTGTTGCGGGTTTGAGTTATTTCACCCCCCCGTTGTGGAGACACAGAAGAAAGACGAGACGGATTTTACGGTATAAAATGGAACATGTATTGCTGTTTTTCGTTTAAAACGAGGGGGGGGGTACTCAGGACCTTCCAAGACCGCAGTAGTAGCATGCCTTCGTAGCCTATTGTGGACGACCATCGCCATCAATCCTTACAAAGCCGACGCACGTCCGGTTTCCACACGCGAGGATACCGCACCAAGCGTGAAGAACATGTTAGGGCATTCGGCGAAGGTAGGGGTTAGAAATATTTTATTTTTGTCCGCACCGGCCATGATGAGTCCTGGCGTGGGCGACTCGACAAAGAAGGTCTTGACAGCGCCGGGCATGTCTACGGGAACGTCGAAATTGCTGTCCGGCCATCTTCTCCGCGCCTCCTGTGCCGTGCGAGGCGTGGGTATGAACGGGGCGCGCCTCAGATATACACCAAGAGGAAAAACGAAAAAGAAAATACATTCTGGATGAAGGGATGTGGCAGTATAGCCCCTAGGTATGCATAGTGGCGTGCGGACACGGCGGGGAGGTCGTCGAAACAAGAAAAGAGCACGAATGGGCGAAAGCACCGCCGCCGCCGCCAACGTGGCCACGTCCCATGGCCGACCAACACCATGGCCATCACCACTTCATCACGATCACGATCACCATCACCATCACCATCACCTCGTCGTCATTGTCGCTTCATCGTCGTCATTATTATCGTAAATATCATCATCATAGTCAATGGCATCTGTTTCTCCCACACTGCGTTCGCTCTCGTAGAATCTTGATCTCTTCCTTCGTCCCCGTGCAACCTTAACCTTCATCTTTCGTCCGTACGCATCCGACGACGCAAGCGGTAGCCTTGTCCAATGGGTCGACATCAAGCAGCCACTTCAAGCTTCACCAAGACACCTTCAACGCACACATTGCTTGGGTGCGAAAAAAAAGAAGCCCCCGTCCCCGTCCCCGTTATTTTTTGGCAGTAACCACAATGGTGGTCGAGTAGATCATGTTGTGCGGGGTGGAGAACCCGCTCCGCG